GTTTTTTTTTTTTTTTTTTTTCTTTTTTTTTTTTTTTTTTTTTTTTTTTTATTTTTTTTTTTTTTTTTTTTTTTTTTTTTTTTTTTTTTTTTTTCTTTTTTTTTTTTTTTTTTTTTTTTTTTTTTTTTTTTTTTTTTTTTCTTTTTTTTTTTTTTTTTTTTTTTTTTTTTTTTTTTTTTTTTTGTTTTTTTTTTTTTTTTTTTTTTTTTTTTTTTTTTTTTTTTCGTTTTTTTTTTTTTTTTTTTTTTTTTTTTTCTATTTTGTCTTCACGAAGTAAAGGACAGTTTCTTTCTTTTTATCTACTGAACACTTCTTCCAACAATCTACTAGAGCCGAATTAACACTTACGCTAGAAATTTTCTCTAACAAAACTGCTTAATCATGACAAATATTCACTGCAAAATTGGGAAAAAAAGTGCACCAATACCATACTCCTTACGCGTTTTTCAACTTCGCGACCAACTTGCACGTTTACTTCAACTTACTTAAACGTATACCAAATTCCTACAAACATAAAATTCACAAAATTAACTATCATTTAATTAAAATATCCTAAATATCACTAAACCATGTAACAACGTCGACTTATTTTCTTAAAAAAACATCCCAGAATTGCACAAAAATGGCATTGCGCACACTCTTCACTATATCCATGTACACTGCTTTTTTTCTCATAAATTAGAAAAATTTCACGAAAATGCATAACAATTTTCTGAATCTTTAAAACCCAGTAAAAAGAACATATATGAAATTACCTGATCGCGAAAAAAAGTACATACCCTTTCCAAATATGAACATTTCCCCGTATAAATAAAATAAATAAAATATCCAAAAACTTTTACCTCTACATTATCTATTACATTCCAAACGTCACTAACTAATTCATACCTTTACTTCATTACAAATGGTTACAAATATTTAGTGTCAAATATTTAAATTATTTCCATGCACGTTTACGCAAATTACTTTACTTCCATCTTACATTTAGAACAATGCATAAAAATAATATCCTCAAATAATTAAAAATACTAACTTACCTATTCTTCTTCATAATCTTGATTACGTGTGTCCGATAAACTTTTCTTATTTCTGTTTTCAGGATATTTAAAATCATACTTATAGTTCACACCCAAGGTACCAAGTAAAATAAATAACTTAATAAAATAAACATCTTTACTTCTATCTCGCACAACCTTAAAGAAACACTTATTACCCCTTTCAATCCCACTAAATACCCATTTCGAATTCACTTTAGTTAGGGCCATGGGATCCAAAAATTAAACGAACACCGTTTCACACACAACAAAGGCAAAAGAATAAAGGCAAAACAAAATTTTCCAGATTTTTTCCCGATTTCCCCCCCCCTTTTTCGATTCAAGAACCGTAATTCGTCCATTACTATCACATGACATATCACATGATCTCTCATTTCCCTCACACAAAATAATGCGTAATCGGAACTGAGTACGGCTCACATTATTACAAAGTCCCAGGTAGTAACCTTTATCGCCTCCAAAATGTCGCCAAACTACCAGTTACCATATCGTAAAGATCAGCCCATGTTTTGAACACACAATTTAAGCTAAAAATCCGAAACAAAAACAAAAAATTTAGATAGCAAAAACGTAAAGTTTCTAACCAAGAATATTTGACAAGAATCCATGTACACAGCATTATGTTTAAACTTAAAAAAACATCTACGAATTGCACAATCTAGGCAACGAACGAATCTACGCACACCTTGCTTTAATAAATTAACATAACAACAATAAATTTCAAAGAATACCATGCCCACAACGTTCTGTTTGAACTTTAAAAAACATCTACGAATTGCACAATCTAGGCACTATGCACTAATCAACAAAATAAACTAAAATAAATTTCACCCAATTAAAAGAAAACAACAATAACGACAGAAATTCATAACAATGAACATAACATTCTACAAAATAAGAACAAGAATAAAATAAAATGCACTTACCATGAATGAATGCTTTTTCGGACAGCAGAAATACTAATTTCACACTGCCTTTAACATGCTGCCATGTAATCACTATTCTATTGTTCAAAAACTTCTTTTCCTAAATCCTTCTAAGATTTCCATCCATCCGAAAAAATAGTTGTACCATGCTCAATCCGCTCTTTAATACACTGCATCAGTGTTTCCCTACTTCTATCATGCACAGCCACTAAAAATAATCTCCCAGACCCTCTTTCTACACCTCTAAATACCCACTGCTCTTCAACAGGATGGCTACAATGATATTTCCTTTTGCAGTACTTCGATTCATCAACTTCCACCACATTATCTTTCTCTCCTATCTTCTCAGACACAGAGCATTACACAGAGCTGACTCATTAACAACTCCAACATCGTACCTTTTAATACTAAATTTTCTTTGCACACAATCTAAAATACGCGACTGAAATCTTCCCACTACGTCTCTCATTGCAACATACGCCATTTCAAAACACGCACGACACGAACCAACAAGCAATTAAACTATTCCAGCAAAAGATTTTTCAACGTCAACAGGGTTGCCATACAACACACAATTGTGTCAAACACCAATGCAGAACACATATTGCCACATCTGAGTATTCCCGTGCATATAATAGTAGAGCCCTATTTTTTTAGATATAATGGTTACTTTCAGAGACTATCGCTACATGGGCATTAGATCACTGGGCTCTAGTGTAGAATTAAGTGCCCCTTCGATTAGCGACAAATTTTTTTTTAAAATTTTGGCGATTAAACCTCAGTTTTGTTTTAGCTTCCTGATTTTTTTTTCAATGAAAATAGAGTGATGTGTACATGGGCAAATTTAAGGCAGTACGCAATGCCTAGTTTGTGCAATTCTGGGATGATTTTTTTTTAAGTGAAAACAGATTGATGTGTACATAGACACAGAGTTTGTGCAAATCTTTGACTTCATATTTTGGTTTTGTGTAGCGGCCATCTTGAAATTGTGCCTTATTGGTGCCGATCATGGCATCAAAAAAAGAATAGCTAAAAAACAAGGGGCACCCAATTGTAAACGTTTACCGATCACTAGAGAATAACAAAACAGGGCCAATGCTAGGCATTTTGCTTCCTGGCATTTTCTTAAATTCACAAAATTTCATAATCACTGAATTCTGCTCATGTATGATAACATTATTTAGCACCTTCTTATAATCCGCATTCACCTGAAAAGTATTCATGAGGCAATGCACTATGCAACCATAGATTTTGCTAGCTAATAAAAAAATAATGCTCCACATCTGCAGAAATATGGTGTCTTGTCAACCATCCTGGCTAAGAATGTTAACAACTGAAAAATCTTTTAAAAGTTTATTGTCAAACAGTTAAAGTGGAAATAAAACATGCGGTCAATATTCTTATATCTTATTTAAAAGATTTACATGTTTTCCATAAAAAAATTGTCTGATTATTATTACTCTACAAATAATTATTATCGAATATTAAGGGAAAGTGCAGAATCACCCACTGCTTGGCACATTTTTAAGAATTGCACATACTCGGTACCCATGTACACATCAACCTATTTTCACTTAAAAAAAATCTCAGAATTGCACAAAAATGGCATTGCATACTCCCTTGACTTTATCTATGTACACATCGACTTATTTTCACTTAAAAAATAAAAGGAAATTGAAAAAAATCCAATTTTTTTCCCCTTGTAAAAGACACCAAACAAATAAGTGGGCGATTCTGCACTTTACCTGAATATTATAGAGGATGACATTCATAATTTAGGCTCATGTTTTCAATTTCAGTGCCAAATTTAAATTATACATGATGATCTGATTAAAAATAAATTTTAAATTATTCAACGGTATACATAAAATTAAAAAATAAAAGTTTTAATAAAAAGAAAAATTTAACCTTTGATAAGCACTGACATTAAATGAAAATACCATCTCTCAAGACACAAAAACTGCAACTTATACTAAAGTAGCAAGTAATTCTGCATAACTCTAGGTATATTTTTAAAATACAACAATATCAAGTCAAATATGAAGTATTTTATACTCTATATTTGGAAATATGGAGTATATGACTTGATATTGCAGAGAGTTTATTACAGTAAAGCACAGAAGAATTACATACTTTAAGAACTATAAACAGGAAAAATCCATGAAAATGGATGTGCTGCAAGCCTGTTTTGTTGCAAGAATGTTCACTCAAAATGTTAAGTAGTTAATTATCTTTATGACAGCGGCCCACAACTTTAGATATTATCTGTAAATCTACGATCTAAAAAGTTTAGTAGCAGTGTTTACATTCTTAGAAATATTGGTCACTTTTAGAGATGTTTATTTATTTATTTTTTGGGGGGATAGGAGTTATCACAAGAAGGCTCATCAGATTAGCACTGCATGGTTTTACACAATCAGTCACCGAGATTGCACTGGCTTCGAATACTTATTCACCAGAAACCAAATATACGATGAATTAGTGATTTTGTCATTTATGTATACAGCTACTAAGGAATGTGATACTAAAAACACAACAGTATTAGGAGGGGAAAAAATGACAAAATCATAAAAGTAAATTTCGTGTTCCTCTTCTAATGAATCAAATTACTTTCATTTACTTAAAAGTGTAATCTCTATTTACCTTCAGCGTAACAACATAGCAAAATAGGAAATTGCAACAAAATGCTATTTGAATTAACATGCTTCAAGAATGATAAAGGAATTAATATAAAAATAATTCCTATGATCCTTAAAGTACGAGTTAAAATTCAATACTGAAGTTCTAACTACTCAAATTCAGTATCTTAATAATACAATTCTATTCTGAAAATGTCACAATGTGTAGAACACATAGTCTACTATTGCTCCCTTATCTTAAACAACCTGCAGTACACCATAATCCAAAGATTAACCACTTTTTTTCTTATTGATATAATTTTGAAGTATCTGAACCCATTTTCTCTTAAAATTAATATTTTTCAGCAATATAAAAGATGTTCTTAAATAAAAAAACAAACCTGATGACTCAACAAGTTCCATTAACTCCTTCTTTTCCACCACGCCGGAGTAACTGATACCTCTGTTATCTAGTAACTGCTTTAATTTTTTTACACTCAATGTTATTGGATCTAAAACAGCAAAAGATGTCAAAAACGTTCCAGTATCGTGATACCATGACGCTGCCTCCAGAAGGCGAGCGAGTATAAACAAAAAAAGCAAATATATAGTTAAAAGTAACAGTTTTAGCCACATATTTTAAATGTTTAAAAATAACTTCCGCCAATAAAAAATAATCATGTATTATAAAAATTATTGCTGATTATAATAAATCAAGACAGCATTATAACGATCGAGGTCGCTCTGACTTTCACAATTCTCTTTCAAAACTGCCTGTTGCTTGGGCAAAGTTGTTTTCTTCCAGTATCTCAGACGCTCCGATCAGTTCACTTTCACCTGCAGCAAATTTACATCTGCTTTTTGTATCATCAAAATACTTTGAACAGAAACCTTTGAAGAATTGTGTCTCTTTTTTAATTACAGTACACCGTAATATAAGGAAAATTAATTTTCTGTAAATAAGTAAATTTGGTGGAACATATCGCTCCAGCACATTTCTTACAGATGTTTACTTACAAACAAAATATTGCCAGAAGCGTTTTGTTACCTCATTAGTCACGCGCTTCAAATATAATTCTGGTTTTGCACGCGAGCAATTACGTAACATTTTCAAGCAATATGCATAATATTTGAAAATTGCTCTTAGAATTAAAATTTAAGCATAAGTTATACTGAAAAATCACAATTAGGAAAACAAGTCTAATATTTCATCAGTCAATTCTAAAGTCATGTAGTGTAAAATCTAGCTCATTATACTCCGTGATCTAGCTTAATTTATGCCTCAGTTTTAACTTGAATATAAATAAACCATTATTTGCAGTAATTCATATTTAGTAATTAAATATTGTTTACAATAGTTATATTGTGCTTGAATAAAAGAATTTTAAGTCCTTAATTGAAAGAAAAGGAGATTAAGGTTAATCTGTCTGTTTATGGAATTTACAAATATACAGTCTGATTCAAGACCTCCTTGGTCTGAATTCGATTGTTCTAGTCGTTTGAATTCCACTCAGCTAAATAAGCTAAATGCATCAAAATTGAAAGGAGTCTGAACCCTTAACTACGAAATTAAATGGGGATTTCAATCTTACAAAATTTATTCAATACATTATGCTTTTATCTTTAAGCCTTTACTTGTAATTCTCTGTTTGAGGAATTTAATCTGGAATTTTCCTTCACAGCATATTTGATATGTTTATCTTTCTATTTTTATTTTCTATTTCAAATTTTTCAAAATATTTTAATTAATTTAAGTAAATATTTAAAAATATATAATTAAAAGGATTTACTGCAGAGCTGTGACAGATCTGGAAGCTGACGCACACTTTCACTTCGCACGAGTTGTTTACAATCACAAATGTTGGTTTTTATTTTTAATAGTTCTTGTGTCCTAATATGTTAAGCATTATCAGTTTTTAATTTAAATTTTTACAGTTTATTAATATAGGAAGTTTCAGAATGGATTCCTGTGCTAATGTAGAAAAAGAGATTGAGAAAGTGTTGAGTAAATTTGGTGCATTTAATGACCATGTATGGCGGACACTAACAGAACTTATTGAATATGTGCAAGGCATTCAGAGAGAATTTATGGAAGGTTGGTTTAAACTTCATGAAATGTTTCACTTAAAACACCTAGTTTATAAGTATTCTGAAACAAGAAATGGATTTAATTTGTAAAAATGCTAGAATGCACATGAATCCGATACGTGTTATAGAAACAAAGTTGTACGAAGGGAATATTGTTCACCATTCAAACCTACGTTTCTCACTGTTTTTATTGAAAAGAGAATATATTTTGTAAAAGACGCACTTGGTTCATTTGGGTATTTAAAAATAAAACGCATTTATGATTTCAAATCATTGTATGTTAAGCGACTTGGCTAAATGAGTTTGAACTACTAAATTAATCGTTTTACCTACGAAATTAATCACTCTTTTTCAGAAAACTTTCTGAAATCAATGTAATCACTGCAGTATCGACAAGAAAGAGGTAATTTTTGTAACGCAAAGTATTTTAGGAATTTATTAAAATTTTTTTGAAAGTAATAATCATCTTCGGGTAATCTTTGGAATAAAGTAACAGGTAGTTTGGCGACATTTTAGTAAGGCGATAAATGTTTGTTGAATGATAAATGTTTGCGAAAAATGAAATTGTTTCTAAGTGCTTATTAGCTAAAATCACGATTGCAATTTTCCGTAAAATGTCACATTACATGTCTCATGATCTCTCATTTCGGCTTAATCCTAGTATCCGGTGCATACGGGATTTGGCTACTTTTGGCGACTTTATGATGAGCAGTAAAATCGAAACATATACGATGATAATAAATACGATGATAACATATATATAAAACATATACGATGATAAGTAAATGGGTCATTCAAAGAATGTATATAGTTATACATAGTATATAGTATGTACTATGTAGTGATAGTGTATAGTATATACACTATCACTACATAGGCGCACAGGCGTTCGAGTCATTTTTGGTGTTGGCGATAATTTTCGAAATCGCGCCAAGGCTGCACCGTGTACTAGGATTTTACCCTCATTTCTCCGAGACAAAATAATCTGTGATTCAAACTGTGTACTTCTCCGATTATTGCTAAAGTCCTAGTTAGTAACATTTATCGCCTTACCAAAATGTCGCCAAACTACCTGTTACTATATTCTAAAGATTAGCCGCAAAGGGCTTTTATTGAAACTGAAATAATTTTATCACAAAAGAACTCGGAATTCTATATTCTATATAGTGTTATGCATACATTTGACCTAAAAAAAAAGGCCTTAAATGTTTATAAAAAAAAGCTACACGGTAGAACTCAGCTTAAAATATTCATCTCATGACCATGAATATATATTGTGCTGTTGATATAGTTGAGCTGAAATCTTGATCTAGTTACATGCACAGAAAAGAAAAACCTGCATTAATTGTAACCAAAAAGTTTTTGATGTCATAAATCTGATACTAGAAACTAGATATAGTGCTAACATATATATGATATGAAAGATTATTGACAAATTTTAGATGACTTGGTGAAAGATTTAGTAATTGTGTTGCATTATCTGCATTTTTTAAAATTAAAACAAATTTATTCTATTTGTGAGTGTTATGGAATCAGGTAAAATGATAAGACTAATCCATATAGTAGTAATTCAGAAATATATACAGTCAAAAGTCGTTAATCCGGACTCGTCGGGACTTCGGTGATTCCGGATTATAGATCATCAGTTTAAATCTGGTAAGATGGCATGCAGAAATTACAAAATTAAAAATATTAAACTGTAATTTATGAAATAAAGAACAATTATGATCTAAAAGGTATCAAAATTTACAAAAAGAAAAAGCTTAATATTTGTTTGTTCACTTTATTAAACATTTCTTTCAATGTAAGTTGCTTCATTTCATGTGACAATACTTTCTCTTTAATTCAACAAACATAATTTCTTGTTTACTTACAAAGTTCCGCTGTTCAAGTCCTATAATTGCTGTGCCGAGAATGTTTTCGTTTTCAATAACCTCTCTGTCACTTTCTTCACTATCGGAAGCGAATTATAATGACGAGAAACTTGATTTAAATCATATCAAAGACGGAGTACATCGAGATGAAATACTACGGTTGATCTTTGGATTATGGTAACTTGGCGATTTTTTGGCGACCAACTCTGCTACAGCAACCCTCTATTTTTTTTTCGCCGCCATTTTGTCTTCACGAAGTAAAGACATGTTTCTTTTCTTTTTATTTACTCAACACTTTTTCTAACAATCTACTAGCCGAATTACTTCAACTGAAACGTATACCAAATTCCGTTTACTTCAACTGAAACGTATACCAAATTCCTACAAACATAAAATTCACAAAATAACTATCATTTAATTAAAATCACTAAAAAACCATGTACAACGTCGACTTATTTTTACTTAAAAAAACATCCCAGGATTGCACAAAAATGGCATTGCGCACACTCTTCACTATATCCATGTACACTGCTTTTTTCTCATAAATTAGAAAAAATTTCACGAAAATGCATCAAAATACTCAACGTATACTACTCAAACGTATTCCAAAATACTACAAATATATAACTCACAAAATCACGATCATTAAATTAAAATATAATTAAATTAAAAAACACTACTTAAAATATAAATAAGCACATACATTAAATTAATAAAAATTAGATTACAATCCTAATTACTTTAAACTAAATCATTGCTAATAATAATTTTCCAATAATACCACATTAATTTACTCCTTACATTTAGAACAATGCATAAAAATAATATCCTCAAATGATTAAAAATACTAACTTACCTAATCTTCTTTAGAATCTTCATTACGTGGCTGCAGTACTACTGCTAATTTCTAAATCCTAAATAACCAAGTAATAAGAAATTAATAAAATTTCACCTATACTCAAACTACTTTCAGCAAACCACATACCCTTCCTTACACTCCTTTTCACAAAATGTCCATTTTCACCATATTTCTTGCACCGCCATGTAAACTTAACTGTAATATCCTTCCTTTCACACAATCTCATCCACATGTTGGACATTCATACTTATCCGCAATATTACACTCGTATCCATTCAACCAATTCTTTTGATATCAATAAATGCATTAAAAATTTAGAATTCACTTTACATAGCGCCATGCAATCCGAAAAATTAATCAACACTATTTCACACAACACACAATGAAGCTTAATACTGCAGCTATAGTACTGCAGATTTTTTCAAATTAAATCCCCTTTTCCTATTAAAGAACTGTAATTCATCCATTAATGTCACGTTTCACACAACACAGAATAAAGCTAAATACGAAATTTCCAGATTTCCCCCCTTTTCCGATTAAACAACTGTAATTCGTCCATTAATATCACATGACATATCATGATCTCTCATTTCCCTCACACAAAATAATGCGTAATTGGAACTGAGTGCTTCTCACTTTATTACCAAAGTCTTAGGTAATAACCTTTATCGCCTCCAAAATGACGCCAAACTACCAGTTACCATATTCCAAAGATCAGCCAATACTACATTTAGTAAGGAATTATAAGCCAAATAAAATAAAAACATCTGCCCTGAAGATAAGGATAGTGCTGACAGATCAACTTCCAATTCATTGCGCGCCACGGCGTTTCTCCCCCCCTCCTGCCGCAAAGCAGCGTGAAATTGATAAATAGATTTCGGATTTCAAAACATACTTTCGCTTTGTAGATCCCTTACATATTAGTAAATATATATCGGAAATTCTATTTGACATAATCGAAAGTTCAAGCTTACTTTTATAAAATTGCTCTAACAGTCTGCAAAAAATAATAAGCCGGATCCAATTCGAAGATTAAGGAACAACGCAATCTGCAACATTAACTGAATTAGATAGTTTTAGCTTAGCTTATACCGTCCGTTATACATTAAACGCGCATGCGTAAACGTATTATGCGCTTGCGCACCCTCAAATTCGCAGCCGTAAAGGTCTTACGCACATGCGTAAACGCCTATGCGCATGCGTCAACGCGATGCCTGCACAGAAAGTTTGTAGCTTTGAGGTCCGGATTATTCGTGTCCGAATTAATGACTTTTGAATGTATATATATAAATAAGGTAAAAGGTTACAATTGGCTGCCCCTTGTTTTTTGGCGATTCTTTTTTGACACCAAGATTGGCATCAGGAGAGCACAATTTCAAGATGGCTGCTACTCAAAACCAAAATAAGAAGTCAAAGAATTGCACAAACTCTGTGTCCATGTACACATTATCTGTTTTCACTTAAAAAAATCCCAGAATTGCATCGACTAGGCATTGCGCACTGCCTTAATATTGTCCATGTACTCATCAGTCTATTTTCATTTTAAAAATATCAGGAAGCTAAAACAAAGTTAAAACTGTCATGATAACCAGAAATGAGATTTCATCGCCAGAATTTAAAAAAAAAAAAAAAAAAAAATTGTTGCTAATCGAAGGGGCACTCAATTCTACACTAGAGCCAAAGGTTAATCTTCAAATTATGGTAACTTGGCGATTTTTTGGCGAAAGTTTCGCGAAAAACCCTGCTACAGCAATCTGCTAGTTTTGTTTTGGATGCCATTTTGTTTTCACGAAGTAAAGGCACTTTTTTTTTTTTTTTTTTTTTACTCAACATTATTTCCAACAATCTGCTAGCCGAATTACGCTTATGCTACAACTTTTATGGAATAAAAGTGCTTAATCATGACGAAGATTAGGTGCGAAGTTGGGAGAAAGTGCAGAATCGCAAACAGCTTGCCGCGTTTTTAAGTATTGCACATACACGGTATCATCCATGTACACGTCGACCTATTTTCACTTAAAAAGACATCCCAGAATTGCACAAAAATGGCATTGCGCACATCTTGACTTTATACATTTACACTGCTAAAGTCCTAGCTAGTAACCTTTATCGCTTTACCAAAATGTCGCCAAACTACCTGTTACCATATTCCAAAGATTAGCCGAGCCAAAAAAAAAAATAAAATAAATTTGGCAACAGCTGCATTCTCACCTGTATGCATGAAAATTTGCTTATTACTATTTCTAAATATTGTAAAAATTTCTAAACCAGTAA